AAAAAAAAAAAGTAACACCACCACCAATAACATTCTAAGGAACTCTCGAACAAAATTAGCAATGCTGATTACTAGATATACCTGGGCTATGTTTCCTCCCTTTGTTCCATGCTCTTCTTCCTTTGTTCGCTTTCGAAATCTTCATCCGTCTCAACTTTTCCCTTTCATCCAGTTTTGTCGAATCTTCACTTGAAGATTTAATCGGGGAATCAGAGGGATCCAGAACCCATATCCGTTCTCAAAACATTTTGACACCCTTTTACACCATTGTTTTTCGGCACGCTTGTTGTTTCAAGTGTTGCAACAGCCTTCATCGTTAACCTGCTCCACCATACCTTATTTCTCTCCAGGGTATAATGCTTCCTCCATTGTTTCGCATCACATATGGTTTTCCAGGATAACGCGGACCCCAATTGCAATACTCTCTCATTGCCGATCAAATATTTATTATGCAAACCGGCTTGGGACCTAATTGTTAAACTATTGTTGTTGTAACAAGAGCACGGCTGTGAAATAGAAATATCTGAAAAAACGAGTAACATTTCATAACTCCAACCCAATTCTCAAAAGCTCTAAAACCTTCCTCCAGCTTTGCAACAAACAAAAAGAAGTATACAAACTGCATATTACATAACCAAAAACTGCATATTACATTACCAAATCCAAATTTCAAAAGTTCCTCAAAATGAAACATAGAATCATCATGAATAACCAAAGAAAAACGAACATCAAACATAACCACACAAAAGCAACAGTGAATAAATTAGCAGAAACAGCAGTAGAGCACAGTTAGGCATAGAACAGATTGAAAAAAACGAATGTCACCAACTACAACAACTTCAAATTCGAACATATCAAAATTTATGCTGAAAAAAAAAATAAAAAAAAATTGAACATATCAACAAATCAAGTAAATCCATGGCTCGTTTACCTAATAAAGGCATGGTAATCTCACTTAATCCAGCTAGCAGCGCAGATTTTTCAGATAAAAGCTTCGATGGCCGCCGCTTGCACAAAATCCATGCACTCAACTACAGTTCAGCTTCTACTATACCTGCAAATTCAACCAATTCAACGAAAACAAAAAGAACAAGCAATAATTCTGTTGTTTTTATGGGAAAATTTGAACATTGTCGGGAGCAAAAGCGATAGCCACATACCACAGTTCTTGCGCATGCCAAACGGTGGATAATGGTGGGATATTTTTAGAGTCTTCTGCTTTTCTTTATTTTCTATTTATTTATTCTTATATTATTGGATTTATTTATTTTGGCATGTTTTTTTTTTTTTTTTT